ATGTGGACGCGTTGATCTACAACGTCACTGCAGAGGGCCGTGTCGAGGTGTTGCGGTTGCTGATCGACTTCTGGCCCGACGGCGCCACGGTGACCGCCTCCGGCGAGACGCTGTTGCATCTGGCAGCCAGGAGCGGCCACTTGGAAGTCTTGCAACTGCTGCTGGACCGCTGGCCGCCCGGACCGCCTGCAGAGCTCCCAGCCATCGCCCAAAGAGATGGCGAGGGTTCGACGCTCCTGCATGTGGCCGCCTCGGGCGGGCAAGTGCGGATCCTGGGCTTTCTCTTGGAGCGATGGCCTGCGGAAACGTCGAACCCGATGACGGTGGCTGCCGAGAAAGGTGAGGTGCCACTGCACCGGGCCGTGATGTCCAACCAGCTCGAGGTCGCGGGCTTCCTCTTGGAGCGCTGGCCCGAAGGCGCCGCGTTCCAGTCGGAATGCTGTACGTGCTTCCACTACGCAGCTGGTTGGGGCTACGTGGAGATGTTAGAGCTGCTACTGGAGGTGAGTCCCGCAGGAGTCAAAGTCACGAGCCCCGACCGCGAGCAGTGGACGGCAATGCATTCTGCGGCTGCTGCAGGTCAGTTGAGAACCTTGCAAGTACTTCTGGAGCACTGGCCCGAAGCCATCAGGATCAGGGACCAAAGCTTGGGCTGGACGCCTCTTCAGTTGGCAGCCGCCATTGGCTCCTTCGAAGCCGCCGTGTTTTTGCTGGAGCTGCCTGGCGGCTACGATCCCCGCACCGATCCCTTGCATTGTTCCTTCGTGCTCTATCTGGGCTGCTCGGTCGAGGACCCTCGTTACGCTGCATGGAGGGAGGCAGCTGTGAACCTCGAGTGCCCGTGGAGGCGCGAGCTCAAGAAGGACCAGCTGGAGCTTTGGCTCCGCTGTGGGGGTGACGTGGGCTTTCGTGACCCCTTCGGAGCCTCGTTGCTGGATGTGCTTGCGGATGAGGAGGCGAAGAGCTTCTTCAAGACCGCTGTCGAAGGGACGACCGAGGCCCATCTGTTTGCAGACTGGCGGAACTGGGCGATCCCCGCGTTCTCAGTCGTTGCAGCCGCTGTTTTCGTGTGCTTTGAGCAGCTCGTGGCCAAGCTCTGCAGACGAGCTCCGGATGGGGATGTTGTCGATCCTTTCCAGGAGGGCGCGAAGCTTCTAGTGGGCCGGGCGTACCTGGGGTTCTTGCCGCTGCGTAGACTCGTCCACTTCTTGGAAGTCAACACAGCCGTTTGGTTATTTGGAACCGGGTTTTTGGTGATGCACTGGTTGGTGTGGCTGCCACTTGTGGCGCTCTTCTACTTTGTGCCAGCAGCAGCATTCCACGGATGGGCGCTGCTAAGATATCCCTCGCTGGCAATCGCATCGAGTGGCCTGGCAAGTCACGTGGCCGCCTTTGTGCGGCTCTTACTGGTGGTTCTGGTGTTTACTATGAGGTCTTGGGTGATGTCTGTAGGATATGGAACGTTGCATTCCTTTCCCTCATCCCTGCTATTTAACCCATCTCTGGATGAATGGGGATCTGAAAGATACGGAAGCTTGTGGGAAGACACTTCAATGAGCTTGCAGAATGACCAATTCCTTTTTTGGCTTGGCCCCGTCACCGCACAAGAGCTCTTCGACAATGTGATCGTGCCGACTGGTATGACTCTTGCCGCAACTCGAGCAGCGTATCTGGTTGGTGCAATCGCTTGGGCTGTTTGCCATCGTTTGATGGGGTGGAAAGGTGAGAGCTGTCGCAGCGGCATGCCATCTCGTGAGGAGACAGCGCGCGCTGTGTCGGAGCTGCTCAAAAGTGAGCCGGCGCAGTTTCGTGAGGTGCACTCAGCGATCAAGCCAGTGCGAGCTTGTACCCTGTATCTTACCGTCGCCTGGATTTTGGTCGACGTCGGCTTGGATACCAATACGGTCCTCATCTTCGCCTCCAAGCGGCAATACCTCTTTGCAAGCCTCATGACTTTCGTGGCCTCGCGGAGCATGATCCGTCAAATATGCTTCCTTAAGCCGTGGCACCTCTTGCAGGCCTTCCACGAATGTTGTCTGTGTGTGTGTGATGTATGTGCGTGTGTGATGTATGTGATGTATGTCTCTGTCTGTGTGTGTGTGTGCACGTGATGTGTGTGTGTGTGTGTGTGTGGGTGTATTTCCGTGACCAGGGTTTGTACCAGGTAACGGGGCAACCAGGGTTTTGACCAATGGCCACTACAGTATGTTGAGCCGGCGTTCGAGGATGGAGAATCGACTGACACTGTGTCGGTATTGGGCTGATCTGACATGCGATGCCGCTTTGGATGCTCATGTAAATTGTTGTAAGACATTGTAAGACATCTCAACTTTCGCATGCACCCCAACGTTCCACGCCGTGCCTTAAACCCCGAAAGCCTTGCCTTAGGCTTCAAGAGGCTAGGGTACCAGAGGTGAGGTCGAGGGTGCCAGGAAGAACCCGGCCCACAGTAACCCTGAAGACAGCTGTGTCGTCCTTGCGACAGGGGTCATGCAAAACTCTGAACTACAGAATGGTTGTACCGAAAGCGCTTTGGAGCCGCGCTTAAGTTTAAGACCTTGTGAGACCTTCAAGTGAAACGTTTGTTGGAAGACGATACGACGACATGGTTCATCTGAGACATCATCCCGTCGCCCATCCCAGACATCATCTCCCACAGCAGCGAGGATGCCCCGCGCGCGGCCCGCCCGCGAGCGCGTGCCAGGACACGCCGGGAAGACCGAAGGGGTCGTCATTCGTGCCTGGAATTGCGAGGACGCCCCACGCGCCAGCGTCAGGACACGATGCGAGCACCGGGAGGGTCGTCGTTTCTGCCAAGAATTTCGGGCTGGCCCGCGTGCCAGTGTCACGACGAGAGGGTCGTCGTTCGCGACCAGAATTTCGAGGACACGCGCTAGCGCCGCTAGCCCTACCCTGCGCTTTGAAACGTTATTTTGTTTTAAGAAACAGCTTTCTCGACACTCCATTACTGTTTGACCCATCTTACATGTTCTTCGCATCCAGGGTAGGAACGTCGATGTGCACATGTATGCTTGGGATTTGGTGCCGCAGGCCATTCGTTCCAGCGTGAAGCGCGGCATCGTGCGCCAGGACCTGCTCGACTTCATTGAGGCAGCCGGCCTTAGTCAAGCGCCATGCGTAAACCCCCAAGCCCTAAGCCCTCAAGCCCAAACCTGATAAAAGCCCGAAGAGGACCGAAACCTTAGCCGCTGACAGTAGCCGCTTAGGGCCTGTATGTACTGAGATCTACGGCGCGTTAAGGAAGAGCAGCGGGTGGAAGCGATCTTCGGCGCTTGCTTCACGGGCTTTTCCATCTTCATGTCTGTCACCACAGCAGGGCAAATGCTGGTGCAGTGGTTCAGTCTGTGTTTCAGCATGATCTCCTACACCGGCCACATGGCACGCGCCTGCGATCTGGCAGTTCAGCTCCAAAATTGCCATGCGCAGGCGGATCCCAGCACCGGAGCAGATACGCAGGTGACAAGCAGCGATATCAACATCGTGGAGGCCCTCGATAATGAGAAGGCAGACATTACCACAAGCTCGACGACCGTGTCGCTCTAAGAGCTGGCAAGGTTTTCCATCGAAGGCCGTTTTTGACGTTGAGAGCAGTTGAAGCCCCATGTCAGTCATTCGAGTGATTCCAATAGTAGGCTGAAAAGGGCCTGCAGAGACTGCGGCTAGTAAACGTGCGGGAGCAATCAAGCCCAAAAACTTTCACTGGAAGTGCACTGCTGGACAGACCTGTGTGCGAAATTGTGAAAGCGCAGCATGCATTGCAAACAGCAGCCTCTCCTTTCATTTTTAAACGAGCTGCTGCTCGATGAAAGGCCCGTCGTGCGAAAAGACAGGCTGGCCAAGCCCTCCCACACCCCTGAACCCAAAACCCTATGCTCGCTGAGAGGTCTTGTGGGTTTGGAGTTGAGGGCGGGCCTAAACCCTAAACCCTAAACCCTAAACCCTAAACCCTAAACCCGAAACCCGAAAACCCTAAACCCTAAACCCTAAACCCGAAACCCTAAACCCTAAACCCTAAACCCTAAACCCTAAACCCTAAACTTGCCAGCCTGAGAATTCAGAATGTCATGTCTGCGGAATACTATGATTGCCTGACTCCATCACCTCACCGCATCCGGGCTGCAACAGCCAGACCTTGCAAGTTCTTAAGCCGAAGGAGGGTTCAGGGTTTAGGGTTTAGGGTTTAGGGTTTAGGGTTTAGGGGTTTCCGAAACTAGGGGGGGGGGGGGGGGTACCTTATTGGGGCCCCTATGACAAGGGGATCCTACTACTTTGGCGTGCGTACGTTATCTTCGTAAACCCCCGACTACAGTGGGCTTCGGGTTGAAGAGAACCCTAGAGCCTGTTCTGGGGGTGGGCCAGTCTCTAATTCACAGCCAAAAGAGACCACATAAAGAGCCACCCTCATGAAACTGAGGTGATCACGGTGAACCTCTCATCTCTGCAAATCGTGGACATAGCAGAGGAGGCCACGAGCGCAAAGCCCCAAGCCAACCTCCCCAGTTCTTCAGGGTTGAGCCCTGAACCCTCTCTACCTCTCTACGCCACCCCCCATCCCCGCTCTTCACTCCCGCCCGCCCTCCCCCCCCTCCCCCGGACTTTGGACCCTTGCTGGGATGTCAAAGGTTCATGGAGGTGACAGTACTGAACCCTCAACTCCAAACTCTGAGCCCAAAGCCCTGAACCCCGAACACGCAAGGACCTCTCCTTCTTCAACAACCTGGACCGGGTGGACCTCAGCGACAACCAGCTGGGTCTAGGCCCCAAGAATTAGGTTCGCGAGCTGAGGGGATCCAGTTTCGCTGAGTGACTGTTTGTGATTTTTAATGTCCTTTGCTGGTTGTTTACATGGTTGCCAGGCCGCCCCCCTAGGAGAGCCCCCCACCCCCACACATAGTAATGTTGGACTCGTTTTCGCCCCCAAACAATTTTGGGGTTTTCGGGGATCCTGAATACTGTGGGCTGGGGCTGGGACGGGGCTGGGGGTAGGGCGGCTAGGGGTCGAAGGTTGAGGGGAAGCCTTGAAGCTTGAGGGTCTAGGCTTTCCAGGCTTTGTAGCTCCACGGTCGCCGGGGCTCCGCATAAATGCGGACCACCGAAACAACTTGCTAAAGCGAATCAGGGCAGCTCGTGGGCTACTTCCTTGGAAAATTGTTTGGGGGCCTGTTTCGTAATGAAATTTTAAAAGGAATTTTAAATAAGGCTGGACACCAAAAAATCTGGAGTTTCTTATTCAAAACTTTTTTTAGTTTTTGGCTCCCCGGCCCCCCGCCCTTCAACCCCGGCCGGCGAACATCGCATAATTGAGGACCACCCTAAACAATGGGGGGTCCTGTATAGGATTTCCGGAACATCGCATAATAGTGCCCCCATTCACTAAAGCGGGTGCAACATTACATAGTGTACGCTCTCTCCCCTAAACCCTCTAAACTCTAAACCCTAAGCCCTACCTCCCAAACCCAAACCCTAAACCCTAAAACCAACCCACAACCGGGGCTGGGCGGGGATACCATTGGCCAGGGGGGGGGGGGAGAACGCACAGCGCACAGCCAGATATGGCTTGTAAATATACCCACCAGTTTGGGGCTTCGGGTTACAGAGCTTTATTCAGTTGCCTGTTCATGTTAGTTGGGTGAAGGCCGCATGAGAACCATGATGAACCATGAGCCCGAATACCCAATCCCGAAACCAACAGAATGGCTACGTTTCAGCTCCTAAACCCGGAGCCCTCAATTCTACACCCTGAAGCACCTGAAGCCCGAAAATACCATTGATGCCCTAAACTTGGGATGTTCCCCCTTACTACAGTTTTCAAAAGATATTGTAGTGCCCCCTCTTACAATCCCATCAAGGACTGTAGTATAAGGGGAACATCCCAACCCTAAACCCTAAACCCTAAACCCTAAACCCTAAACCCTAAACCCTAAACCCTAAACCCTAAACCCTAAACCCTAAACCCTAAAACCCTAAAACCCTAAAACCCCCAGGCTATGAGCACCTCCTCGAACAGATCACGCGGCTCCCGCGCTTGGGCACACTCAACCTCGCCTGCAACTCCATCAGCTCCCTCCAGGTGCCTGGATCCGGAGATTTGGGGGTTTCCGAAATTCGGGGTACCCATTGGGGTCCTGAGAATATATATAAATATCTGAATACATAAATAAATAAATAAATATGTGTGTGTGTATATATATATACATAGGGGGGTTAGGGTTACTAGGGTTTAGGGCCCGCGATGTTAGGGGTACCTTATTGGGGATCCTACTATTTGGGGGGTCTATATTAGGGGTCGCTTGTTTTCGTAAGCCCCAATTTGGGGGGTGGGTTTGAGGGCTTTGGCTTATGAAATGGGGCTTTTAAAGGGTCTTTAGCATCTTTTCAAGATGGTTTTAGGGTTTTTGGGGTTTCGGAGCGATGTGTTCCCCAATTGGGATTAGGTTTCGGGTCTTCAGTTTACGGCTTAGCGCTGAGGTTTCCGGAAGCAAGAGAAGGTGCTTTTCACAGGCGGAAGAGGCGTGAGGGCACCATTTCGATATTGCTAAATGATTCTCCTTACAGTTCTTGGTATCAGAGTGGTACCCTTTGGCCTCTTCTTGGGTTCTAAATCCTCAACCCTAAACCCTAAACCCTAAACCCTAAACCCTAAACCCTAAACCCGAAACCGGGCCCGAAGAAAGACCCGCAACTTCGATCCGAGCCCCCAAAATCAAGAGACCTCCTGTCGCCTTGCTACGAAGCCCAGGTGGGAGCTGGGATTCTCCAGAGCTTGGAGGCCTTTGTTTAGAGTCCATGGTTTAGGCTTACGGCTCAGGTTTTAGGGTCTATCACGGTCTATCTGAGGATTTAGGGCACTTTGGCAGACGACAGTGTAGCATCTCGCCGATCCAGCCGCTCGCCGCTCGCAGCGCTTTCTGGCAGATGTGCAATGCAGGTCCTGGACCTGTCTTTCAACGGCTTGCATGGCGACGTTCTCGGCCAGCTAGCCAGGTGGGGGGGTGAGCTGCGGCTGCATGGTTGGCTCTCCTAAACCTTCAACTTGGAACCGCGGGCAAGTTTCAGCAGGCCCTTCTGGCTTTTGCCAGCCTTTTCGTCTCCGGCTCGCAACCACAGAAAACAGAGTTTCAGGGTTTCTGAGCTTTAGGTGTCCAATCACTATTCAACCACCAATCTGAAAATATACACCCACCTTCCATAACATGCGCCGACACACCGAGCCCTAAACCTCGGAGAAGGAGACCAGGCCACTTTTGAGAATGCTGGTCTTCAAACCTAACCTTGCAGCAGTTGCAACCTCCCCCTCGCCCCTCAAGCCCCCAATCCTCAATGCTCAAACGCACTCATCCCTTCATCCCTGGAATCCCTCACAGCCCTCCAGCCTAGGCACCCTAATGTGCGGAACTCCCCCACATCCCCACAAAGCCTAAACCCTAAACCCTAAACCCTAAACCCTAAGCCCTAAGCCCTAAACCCTAATCCGGAGGCTGCCGAGCTTGGTGTGGCTCAACTTGGCCTCAAACTGCATCTCCTCCCTGCCACCAGAAGCGGAGCTCGTGGGCCTGCAGGTCGAAGACAGCTTTGGTGTTTTTCGAGGGGTTTACTTTTGGGATGTTCACCCTTATACTAGCAGTCCTTAATAGGGACTATCGTAGGCCCTACTATAATCCCCAGTAAGGACTGTTAGTATAAGGGGGAGCATCCCAAGGTTTGCATTACTTGGATGAGTCGGGATCCCATTTGAGAAGGCCAACTTAAGACGGGCACTGGCAAGAAATGCTGGCAGTGACCATTGCCCTCAGAATGGCATCCGTATGGTTGATCTAAATCACGGGCCTTCGTTTGTACCAAACTAAACCGCTAAGGCTCATGATTGAGATCAACCCCCATACCCTGAGTTGGAGACGTAGAGATGCTTTATAAAATCATACTACTATATTTTTTCATATATGATGACATTATTTGTATTTCTTCCTCCTCTTGTGGGCACGGGCAGATCGTGCTAAAGGCACTGGAGGAGCTCATCCTCGACTCGAACGATCTTGTGCAATTCATGCAGTGGTACCACGGCTGCAGGGTTTTGGTACCGGGGGGCTTGTTCTACCATGATATGGTTGTATTGTTTTAGTGTTTTTCTATTTTATGATGATGATGATGATGATTGGTATGATTATTGTTATTGCTATTGTTATTATTACTGTATTATTGTTATTGTTGTTATCATTGCTTTGTGATATTATTATGTTCTGCTGTTGTGTCTGCCAGCTCGGCCGAGGCGGTCGCTGGACGCCGTCCCGCATTTGCGCAAGCTGTCCTTGATGTCGAACCGCGTCAAGCGCTTGAAGGAGCTGGCGGTTTAGGGTTTAGGGTTTAGGGTTTAGGGTTTAGGGTTTAGGGTTTAGGGTTTAGGGTAACAATGCACGTAAGGGCAGCTTGTGGCCTGAGAATCCGGGAGCCCAACGGCCCAAAGGGACCCGAAACATACGACGAGTTTTTTCCGGTCCTGGCCTGGAGGCTCCCATTTAAGTCTCAGCTTCAAGAAGCCGTGCCACCAAAAAGCCACAACAAGAGATTTTTGGCGACCTTGGGGCTTCTTTCGAGGGCCCCTTTGGCTTGCAGGGTTGCATATGAATTCTCGAAGTATGATTGCTATTTCATCAGACTAGATTCGTCATAGTGACTCATAGTGTCATAGTGACAATAATACGCAGGACTATTCTGGGCACCAACACCATTAGTGTGTACTCATTCTTGTTTTGGTTTTGCTTGGGGTGGCTCAGTTCATTTGGAACTTGGAACAGTCTACTAGGGGACCCTCATGCAGCAAAGCCCCCACTTGCTGACTCTCCCGACTCCTAAACCCGGCCCTTACACCTTGACCTTAAACCCTTAACCCTAAACCCTAACCCTAAACCCTAACCCCTAAACCCTAAACCCTAAACCCTAAGCAGCTACAATTCGGCATCGCGCAGGACGATGCGCCGGACACCGCCAGCGGGACGACGCTCTGCTACTTCCCCTACCTTCAGGAGCCCGTGCCTCAGGCACAGGGGTACCTCTGCGTGACCTAAAACTTGCAGTGATACGGTGGAATAGTACTAATAGTAGTAGAAGCTATCAGTAGTGTAGCGGCAGTAGTCGCCGTGACAGTAGTGACAGTAGGGACAGGAATGACAGAGCTGCGCATCCTCGCTCCCTAAATCCCAAACCCTAGATCATGGTACAGGCTGATTTGCGACATGTCACCACTCAAGAGTGGCTTGACCAGTAAGACTTCATGAGCAGCCAGGTCCAAAGTGTCCTTGACAAAATTCAGTCCTTGAAGATTCATGCAGCAGGTATGAGTCGCTTATTCACAACGAACCGACAGGCTTCATCAGTCCGTCCAACCCCAAACCCTGACTCACTAAACCCTAAACCCGAGATCATGGCAGGGGGTTTCGTCACGTGCCCGCAGCTTCCAAGGCTGGATCTGTCTTCAAATGAGATCACAGGCCCCGGCCTGAGAAAGGGTTTGCGATCATGCGGTGGTTTGGGGTGTGGGGGGCCAGTGGGAGCGTCCCTGGTGCCCCTTGATCAGGGCGTGTGCTTTCATGCATGTGGCCTCAAAGCTCGGTACGTAAACGGTCGCACAGCCGTCCCGGGTTGCAAGCTGGCATGCAGCTGAGGTGTGTCCAGCCTGCCTGTCATCCAACTCTTTCAGAGCCTGTGTGGCCCCCAGTCACTGCCCTGTGACACTCTGGGAGCCGCCGTGTAAACTGAGGAGAGTTCTCCGCCTCACCGACAACCCATGCACGAGAGGGAACGCAACGATTCCTTCCGTTCCGAGCGTTGCCATCGTTTGCGAGGAGCCCTGGATCCTAACCGTCCCAACCCTGCAACAACTCAGACGCCGGCCAAACAGGACATCAAGCCCTTCTACATGAAGGGCAATGGTTGCTTTGCCAAGGCGCTGAGTCTCCGACGTCTGACTGTTGTATAGGCCGTGTCTGCAGTGTCTGCCCGGAGGCCGAGAAGATTCCGGGCATGAAGCTGAAGATGGACAGTCCCGCTCTCATCTGCACCGGAGCCGGGGGATGACAAAGCCCACGCCTCGTGACACGACCCGGACCCCGGTACCTGCAGAGGCCGGAAGATGAAGAAAGTGAGGGATGTCCGCACCCACGGCGTGTTCAGCCGCCCAAGGAGCATGCCTTGAGCCCAACTGTGTAACGCCGTATGTGTGTGTCTCTGTCTCTGTGTGTGTGTGTGTGCGCGGGTGTGTGTGTGTGTGTGTGTGTGTGTGTGTGTGTGTGTGTGTGTGTGTGTGTGTGTGTGTGTGTGTGTGTGTGTGTGTGTGTGTGTGTGTGTGTGTGTGTGTGTGTGTGTGTGTGTGTGTGTGTGTGTGTGGTGTGTGTGTGTGTGTGTGTGTGTGTGTGTGTGTGTGTGTGTGTGTGTGTGTGTGTGTGTGTGTGTGTGTGTGTGTGTGTGTGTGTGTGTGTGTGTGTGTGTGTGGGTGTCTGTGTGTGTGTGTGTGTTTTATTTGATTTTTTTTGGGGGGGGGGGGGGGGAGGGGAGGGCGGGGGCGAGGTGATGTTCTGAATGAGGGCCCGTTCCTTTGTGGCGGGTCCCCGTAAGAAGCATTGTTTGTGTTTACCCCCTTTCCCCCCCTCTTTTTTCCGTTCGCACACGCAACGAGGATGGGTTTTTGAGCGCAGTAGTGGCGCTTCAAGGTCTCAACTGGGCCTCCTCGATGAGGATGCCAATGCCCTGGTGGTTCATTGGCCAGGCTGGTCGGGCAGAGCTGTTGACTTTCCGTGTGAATCAAGATCCATTGAGGATTCTTAAACGAGCCTCAAGAACCGCTTAAGTATAGTGGTTGAGTAGGTAACTGTTGTATGAGGTAGTAGCTCCACTATACTTGAAAGGTTTAGGGGTAAGAGCACTGGGAACCGGATCTCGCTGTCCAGGCGCAATGTCTGTGAACGTCCGGGAGCCCAGGCTTTTGGAATGCGGTAAGGTGCAGACGTGCCGAGCTTGCTTCACCGGCAATTTCGGTACTACGCATAAACGAGTGGCCGCGATGTTCAGCCACTTTCAATCCCAGGCACGAGCTATGTCCGCCCCTGCAGCCACTGCGGCGGTGCCCGCAGCAGAGCACATGGGCATCTTGCTTGCACTGCGGAGGATATCGCTTCAGGCGTGTGTCTCTGTTTTCTGTGTATTAAGGTTTAGGGTTTAGGGTTTAGGGTTTAGGGTTTAGGGTTTTAGGGGTAACATTGTAGAGTGCAGCGGGCATCCAGATGAAAGCACAGGCACATCGCAGAGCAAGATGCTCACCAAGAGCAACCAAGAAGACAGCTCCAAATCAACCACAAGCATCCCCAAACAACAATGTAAACTACCAATCTCTATAAGCCTTAAACTCTAGACCCGAGACCCCAACCCCTGAACCCTGAACCCTAGACCCTAGACCCTAGACCCTAGACCCTAGACCCTAGACCCTGGACCCTAGACCCTAAACCCTAAACCCTAAACCCTAAACCCTAAACCCTAAACCCTAAACCCTAAACCCTAAACCCTAAACCCAATGCCAAAACCCTCAAGCTGCCCAGGCATCTCCGATGGCGGACTGGCAGCAATTGTTTTGTTCGTCTCGGGCTGCAGGGTTGGGGGGGGATGTGGCGGTTTAGGGTTTGAGGTTGGGGTTTAGGGTTTAGGGTTTAGGGTTTAGGGTTTAGGGTTTAGGGTTTGGGGTTTAGGGTTTAGGGTTTAGGGTTTAGGGTTTAGGGTTTAGGGTTTAGGGTTTAGGGTCTAGGGTCTAGGGTCTAGGGTTCAGGGTTTTGGGGCTTTAGACGCTTTTTTCCCTTATGGTTTTCAGCTCAGCAGCGTAGGGGCTGCAGGGTTGGGGGGGGGCCAAGGCGGCTTCCCTTGAAGGAGCATGCGAATTTCTTGGCAAACATGGGCCATTGAGCGCTGAACCCTTGTCCCTAGACCTTGAACCCCGAGCTTCTTTCCGGGCAGCATGCCGTGTCAAGTCATTGCTGGCCCTGTGCTCCACGTCTTCGTACTACTTTCATACAGCGAGGGCTCCCGAGTTTAGGGTTTGGGGTTTAGGGTTCAACCCTAAACCCTAAACCCTAAACCCTAAACCCTAAACCCCAAACCCTAAACCCTAAACCCTATACTCAGGCATCCTGAGTGACGACCTCACGGAGGAGGAGCTGGATCAGATCTTCCGGGAGCGCAAGCAGACCATAGAAAACAGGCCTCGTCGAGTTTCCGCGCAAACCCCGCAATGCTGAGCGTTCTTTCTAACCATAAGCAGACCTAATCCCTAAACCCTAAACCCAAAACCCTAAACCCTAAACCCCAAACCCTAAACCCTAAACCCTAAACCCGAACTGGGCCCACCTTCCTGCGAGCCTGAGAGGTTCGAGCAGCCCGTGGCCGAGCCCACGTCCTTTATGAAGGAACCCCAGGATGCTGCCACCAAGGAGGGGCTTTAAGGGTTGGGGTTTAGGGTTTAGGGTTTAGGGTTTGGGGTTTAGGGTCTAGGGTCTAGGGTCTAGGGTCTAGGGTCTAGGGTTTAGAGGGAGCCGTGCGCTTAAAATCATCGGGCTGAGAGGGTCTTAAATCTAAGGGCTTAAGGGGAAGCCCTAAACCTTAAACCCTCAACGCCCTAAACCCTAAGCCCCTAACCCCGAGCCCCTCAACCCTTTAAAACCCTAGACTCCCAAATCGGCACTCCCTCACGCACGAGCAAGCCCTGTGAGGAGAAGCTGGCACTGCTCATGAAGCAGATGCGGCAGCAGGAAGAAGAGCAGCCGCGGCCTGAGCTTTCTTCGTTCAAGAGCCGGGATTCGGGGGTCCTCGCAGATTTTAGGGTTTGGCGTTTCTAGGAATTGGGGCTTAGGGAAGTTGAGGGTTTAAGGTTCTGGGTTCAGGGTTTAGGTGTTGAAGCAGATGTTGCATCTGGGAGCACTTCTCACCACCCGAGCTTGTTGAACCCCCGTGGTGGCACCGGACCCTCCTTCAAACCCGGCAACTTGGGATGTTCCCCCTTGTTCTAACAGTCCTTAGTCGGGAGTATTTTGCCCCCTACAACAATATTAAGGACTGTTAGTAGTCTGAAGGCGAATATCCCAACTGCAATGCAACATGAAGCCCTCCTTACTGTCAGCCCCCTCGATCTTTCGTAGCCTCGCGCCATGCAATCCTATGTTGTTTGAACCGTAAGCCCCAAAGCCCAAACCCTAAACCTTACTCTCATCAGATCTTCTTACCCTAAGCAGAAAAGCTCACGAAGATCCAAGCTTACCCCCGAAAAAGTGAGGGTTTAGGCTTCAGGGCTTAGGGTTCAGGGTTTAGGGGGGGGGGGACGGGTGGCGCGGCTCTCAGGTCCGGCTTGAGCCCGGGTGCAAGCCCATCTCCCAAGGCACGCGCTGCCTGGGTTTAAGTTTTTTATTTTTGTTTTCATTTTTTTGATTTTATTGTTCTTTGTGTTTGAGGTTTTGGTCAGGGTTTTTAGACGGCTTTCGATTTTTGATCTTTTTTAGGCTTTTTAAGGGCATTTCGAGGGCTTAAGGGGTCATTTTTCGGGGTGACTCGAGAGGTTGAAGGACTTTTCAGGGCTTAAAAGGTGTTCGAGGGGCAAACTTTGAAGGTTTAGGGGTTTGTGTTTTTGGGCTTAAGGGGTTTAGGGTTTCAGGGTGGTGTCAGGGTGAGAGGGTTTTGGGGGTGTAAGGGCTTTGTGGCGGTTAGAGGGTTTAGGGCTTCAGGGCTCAGGGTGGAGGGCTGGAACACAGGGGACCCAGCGACTGATCACGGACTCGCCTTCTAAACCCTAAACCCTAAACCCTAAACCCTAAACCCTAAACCCTAAACCCTAAACCCTAAACCCTAAACCCTTAACCCTTAAGCCTGTAAGCCTTTAAAACCCTAAACCCTAATTGGGCATCCAGCTTTGTGTCTCACGAGCCTCCACGCTAGCGGCGCTGAACTCTGTCAACCCTAAATCTCTGCAATCCAAGATCTGACCCCTAAACCCTAAACCCTAAACCCTAAACCCTAAACCCTAAACCCTAAACCCTAAACCCTAAACCCTAAACCCTAAACCCTAAACCCCTAAATCTCTGAAACCCAAGATCTGAGCCAGGAGAAGCCGTCGGGTCTCTTCCTCACTGGACTTGGCGAGGACCGGGGCTGGGCTTCCTCCGGTCATCCCACCTTGTTGCGAGGCTCCTTCAAGTGTTTAGGTTTCAGGGTTTAGGGCTTAGGGTTTAGGGTTTAGGGTTAGGGTTTCGGGTTTATGCAATCGGTCATGCAGGGTTTAGGGTTTAGGTTTCAGGGTCTTAGGGTGCAGTGTGTCATTGCCTTGTACCGCGGCATCTTCAGGGTGCAGGTTGTGCAGGAGCACCCCTGAATTTCCAGCTCCGCCTGGACTTACAGCGCAACCTACCGCTGGGTAAGGAAACTGTGCTTTGCTTCTTTGGGAATTTTCCTCCAGTAAGGCGCAACTGCACTCAAACCCTAAACCTACACCCACCACCGACTCCCACTCCCAAGTCCTGCATGCCTAGTCCCGGGCCATGGCTGCATGGGCCAAAGGCCCATGACCCAGCCAAGGTCCAGAGCATCTATGGCCCAATGGGCTATGATGTGGCTCCCTCCCCTCCTATGGGCCATGGCCCCACGGGCCCAATGGTCGTGGAATTGCTTAAAGCCCCTCGTGCAGGACTTGTTGGCGTCTCCATTCTAGTTCCAACCCTCGATTTGACATGCCAGGCCACCTACCGCGAAACCCTCAGCTGCGAGTGTGATTGAGAATAACTTATACCTCGGACTTCGACCAAGTCCTGGAGGAGATGTCCGAATGGTTGAAAGATGCAGGCAAGTTGAGTCACCGAGTCATGTGACTTTGTGTACGGCTCCTCACGCGTCACCTGGTCGAGACCAGTGTCAAGGCTTCTACCCAAAATCATTCCGACCGGATGCACGATGAGCACACCAAACCAACTACATTTTTGACAAATATGCTCAGAAGACAGACGTGCATGAGAGGCGCTGGCTTACAATGTTGTAGTTCTGCTTGCCTCCAGGGCTGCCCTTCCCCGATTCCTGGTTACTTGAGATGCTTCTCCCGGTGCCATGCCAGTGCATGCGTATGAAGTCAGCCGCTCAAGCACTTGCAGTCAGCAAGTGGGCTTGGCGTGCCCCGACAGTTTAAACCCCACAACAGACGCAACAGCCCCTGCACAAAATGCAGGCCACAAACTCGGTCATGGTTCTACGCTTGTATATTGGTGACGCACTCTCAGGAAAGCCTTCCGTGCTGTCAGGGTTTTCTTGCCTTTGAGCTCTTTCAATTCGGAGGACGCCCCGGAGCCACCGCGGCAGCCCCGCCGCAGGTCGCGAGCCCAGCGTAACCGTCCCAGAGAGTGGTTGGGGTGCGGGGGTCGCGGGGGTGAGGGTTTAGTCCCCTCCCTCCCTCCCTCCCTCAAAAGGAACAAGGACCTTACGGCGTGCTTGAGGGCAGGTCAACATGATGGGGCATGGTCGAGCCCAGCCCTTCGTAGGGGAATACGCGTAGGACCGCCGCGCAGGAGGTGCTTCCCCCCCGCACCCTTGATTCTAGTTTGAAGCTTTGTCCCCTCTAGCAGATTCTAACAGTCCTCAACGGGCTATAGTACCTCCGATTATTCCTTATACTCCCTATTGAGGAACATCCCAACGTATACCCGGCAGCATGACGGAACGACTGAGGGCAAAGGCCACGAAGGATCCTGGCGAGAAGGCCAGCAGGGGTGCCCCAGCGTGGCCCAGTGCACGTATTCCTGCCCCCAAGTGGTTTCAGGGGGGCAGAAGTGCGCTTCAACCAGGTACCATGAGTCTGCCCCTGTACTTGAAACCCTGAACCTTGAGAACCTGAAACACTAAACCCTGAACCCTCAAACCCTAAACCCTAAACCCTGAACCCTAAACCCTAAACCCTCAAACAAGCACCGCGCCCTGCGCAGGCACCTTCCTCCACGGCCTTCCAGGCTTTCGTGCATGAGCACAATATTATTAAAGTGAAGAGAACTAAATAACCTCACAGAATCTCCCATTAAATTATTACGTGAATGAAGTGAATTAAATTAACGCAGTTCATGTATTCACGCTACATTCACACTAATAATTTGCCATTTAATTTTATTTGCATGGCGCACGAATTCAATTGAAATGTGAGAACGAAGTACACCCGCGAGTTTACTTAATTCTCTTATTCTCGCGGGAATAGAAGTAGTGAGTTTACTGCGTGCACGGGCCAAATAGTTCTTTGGTTCACTGGCCCGTGTACTTCGTTCGTATTGACGGGGCCCGGGGCGGCTGAGGATCACATGTAGATTTTTTCGGTTGTTTTTGTCCGTTACAGTTTGCGTTTTCTAGAAAGCCGTGGGTTTTGCGAGGGGAATGTAGGGTTATAGTCTCGGGTTGGGCTCGAGGCTTTTTTTTTCAGCTTGCAGGGCTCACGAAGATCCTGGAATTCAGGTCCGGTTCACACCCTAAGCCTAAACCCTGAACCCTCAACCATAACCCTAAACCCTAAACGGCGTTAAGTTGTGTGAGCTGGCTACTCAGTGCTCGGGGTCATGGGTCCCCCTCCGACACCCTGCAGTCTCCGGATCATGCAAGTCCGGGGCCCCCTTTGCGCGCTTGGCTACAAAGCAGTTCTGAATCTTTGGGTATCGTCACCAGATTCTACCACATACTTAGTCATTGCAAAGGCTTTGTGAACACTATCTGCCTCGAGACTTGCTGCAGGCTTTCCTGGCAAACCGCTCAGGACATTTGCCGCCGCTGGTGGCAGGCAGAAGCCCCAAACCCCCAAAATCCTAGACCCCTAAACCCTAAACCGTAAACCCTAAACCCTAAACCCTAAACCCTAAACCCTAAACCCTAAACCCTAAACCCTAAACCCTAAACCCTAAACCCTAAACCCTAAACCCTAACCCCTAGACCCCTAGACCCCTAGACCCCTAAACTCGAAACCCTCAAGACCCTCAACCCCAGGCTTTGCCATGACATTCGTAGTCGGAGCTTCATGTCTCCTAGGCCGCTTCAGGAACTCTGTCCAGGCCGAACATCCCAGATCTACGGTTCCACTTGCAATATAACCTTCGATACACTCTATATATATATATATATATATGTATGTATGTATATGTATATGTATATGTATGTATCTGTATTCATATAGTAAGCCCCCCATATATGCATATATATATATATATATATATAGATATAGATATAGATATATATATATATATGGATATATAGATATAGAGAAAGAAATAGATATAGAGTAAAGGCCCATACTTCGGATCCCTATGAACAAGGGCATGGGACCACACTCCAGCTTAGGCCAAAGTTTAAAAAGGAAGTGCGGGTTAAAATCGAATGTAGGGATTTTGTGGGTTTAAGGCTAGGGGCCCGAACCTCCCCCCCCCCCCCCCCCCCCCCCCCC